ATTCAGAAAATCTTTTCAGGACCCCACCTTGATGTTTCGGGACCCCACTTTGGGTCCTGACCCCAACTTTGGGAAATGCTGCGCTAGACAATAAAAATGTTTCTTATATTGTAAACATAATACAAACACTGTCCCTTTTCATATGCATTACTCTCCCCTGCTTTACTCCATTTCCATCTGTCTGCTTTCAGCATGACTCATCACTCTCTGGAGTATTATTTTGTTTATTGCTGCAAGTTTGCACAAAGGCACCGCTGCCTCATCAACTTCTCACATTCACTTAGACAGGTAATATTTTAGAAGCAAGAGGAGGGGCACTTCAGAGCAAAGCTCTGCCGGCGCTTTAATATTAACTGTGCTCATTTATATATATTTTTGTCTTTTATGATACATCTATTTGGATTTGGCTTTATGTGCACAATAAAATCAGCTTACAACCTCCAAGGGGGAGTGAAATGAGGACTTTTCCTCWGGGGAAAGACTCTTATCTTCTAAATGACTCAGGTTTTTTTTTCTTTCTCAGTGTCAAGAAACAATGTCTGGGCTTAGTCTATCTTATTAAATCGCAGTCTCTTTGTCAAGTTATGTATTCTCTGCAGTTCTTCAGCTCTGTCATCACAGTTCATCGAAGCAGAGGAAAGATTTTGGAGGAGTTCAAATGCCCACTGGTTGTAAATGTTTTATTTACATGGATGTATATTGCAAGTATGCATATTCCCAAAATTCCCAAAATGCCAGAAGATTGACATTTAACCTGAAACAAGGAATTTTTATTTTTTATTTTGCACCAAAACACCATTTTATAGTTTTTTGACTTGGGTGTTGTAATGCCAAACTTCTTGTCTAATTAAAATGCCCATTTATGCATGACATCAATAAATAAACCCAATCTGAGATCCGTAACTTTGACCTCGATGGGTAATACAAAAAATAAAGTTAAAAGCTTACTAGAAGGTATAAATCTTTGTCCTGGGACCTGCTTGAGGCCAGTTTGCTTCAACCAGACATGGTTTTCTTCTGGTTGGATGGAGACTGTGTTCAGTTAATCTCCCCTGTGGTTAAAAAAATAAATAAAAAAAATAACTTAGAGACAAAATCACAGAAGCAAAAAAAAGTGAGGAAAGTGTAGCAAGTAGGTCACTGCTCTGAGAAAAAAAGAAGAAGCAAAATGACGGTTTAATTTTGTAATCTTCTGAGCACTAGCTCACTGATTAATCCTTGGACTATGATCTGAATGCTTGTGAGTGCCTTCCTAAATACAATTAATACCTGCAAATGACTGAGCAATTTCTTATATGGACTGAGGAAATCAGTGAAGTTTAATACAATTATTTTCAGATATTTTACTTTATTGTTTTTTTTTCTCAACAAAATTATCATGCATATTAACCAGTTTCTTGTTTTAATTTTGTAGCAACATTTTGCACAAAAACACCCCACTAAGACTGCCTCCTATAAGTATGTGCTGTAAGCTTACCGATGTAGTACACTACGGAGACTTGTCTGATGTCAAGTTATAAAAAAAATATCATTGGGACATGTCATATTCATAGCTAATTTAAAGTAAAGCAAGGGAGTTCATTTAAAGTGCATAAATAACACAGGGACAGGAACACTTTTTAAAATAACAGAAATGTGTTTTCAAATGTAAACCTGTTCACAAGCCACATGGTTTTGAAGAAAAGAAAAATAGAAAACAGCATTTCATTTTCCGTGTTTCTGTTTCTTTCAGATGGTGAAGGAGGAGAGGTTTCACCCCCGATGGGTGCCGGCATTGACAGCAACAGCTGGCACTTTCGCTACGGCCCCGGGGGTCCTGGAGCACCTCCACAACACCTGAAGCCTGGCGAGGTTCCTCCGGAAGCTTTCATCATCCCCGGCTCGCCCGCCATAATATCCATCAGACAGAACCAAGGAGGAGAGGATGACAAGAGCGATTTCATCACCTTTGGGAAGAAAGAGGAGGCCAAGAAAAAGAAAAAGAAGAAGAAGGAGAAGGAGAAGAAAGACAAAAAGGATAAGGGGAAGGATGATGGCGATGAGTAAAGCAGTAGGCAATGATAAAGAAAAGAGCAAAGAAGTAAAGGGCGTTGCTAAAACAGAGGTACCAACCAAAGTTCACTGGGCAAAAAGAGAATATTTCACTTTACTATCTATCATCACTGACAACAATTTAAAGCTTTTACTCTTGTGATCCTGGCCTTATGAGGAATTAGTTTACCTTCAGTTTCTTACTGATGGAAATTATTTGTCTTGCCTTTATACAATTGATACAACAAAAAAAATATTAAAGATTGTTTCTTTCTCTCCATTTCCCATGTGCCTTTGCACCCTGAGTCAAGTCTTGTCATTCTTAAGAAAAAAAAAGAAAGTTCCACCCCTCCACCATGTTGATTTGTTTCTCCTTTAACCCACTGGGCATGTTGGCACCTCTGTCTTACCCCCTCTCTAATGTGTAAAGCATCCTCTCATCGAGGAAAACCTTATTTTGAAACAAAAGCGAATAAAAAAAGGCTGTGCCAGCAAAAAGGAAAAAAAGCAACACGAAGAAGACTGACACAGATGCATGCAGTCTGGAGCTGGACACAAACTACTTGTAAATAGCACTGACAGGAGTCACCGAAACTAAGGCCAATTTGACACTGCTGCAGATACACAGGCGATTACCAACAGTGTTCCCTGAGATCGCATTGAAACACATGCACACACTCACACATCAAAACACCAACTTATTACCCATCATACAGCGGACACTGAAAGAACTTGACACCTAACAAAAGGAGAGAGACTCAAGTACAAGAAACACGCTTAAAGCTGGACACWGCAAGCTCTTTGCCCTGCACAGTCACCTCTTATGTGCAAATGTATGTCGGCTCCCTCAGGATGGAAGCAGATCCTTTTGCAGTCACTCTATATTTGCTTGCTGCATCAAAACAACAAAGAGCTTCATCTCCTGTCAAAACTTCAGTTGAGAAGAGACCACGTGGGAATGTGGAGGAAAGATGGAAGATGCCTCCCATTTTCCTAAATATCACAGAGGTTCGAGTCCAGCTGAGCTGGCTGGAGACTCTYCAGCGATTTGGTGGACTGTAAATGAAATGGTAAAGAGCACTTGTATAATGTTATCTTCTCCTGGTGCAGGAAAATAAAGCCTGATGCTTTCTACTTTGAATGTTTGGTAGCAACCAATCCTTACTGATACCTTGAGTTTACAAATAACCACCTGCTTGTGTTTTCTCCCAGCTGCCACAAACTGAATTTCACACACATCACTTTATTTTTCTTCTTGTTACCCATCCCTCTGGCTGACATTTTATGTAACATTCAAATTTTTATTTTGTTTAAAGAGATTTTTTTGCTCATAGCTTTAACTTCTTTATGCTTTACTCCTTGATTTTACCCTCAGACTCTATCCCCACAACCCCTGCTCTGACTCCCTTTCTTGGGATCAGTCCCTGAGAACGGCCTGCTCAGAACATTGTGGTGTGCTGAGAACAGCATGGAGTAATGTGGACGAAGGCCTGAGGGAGAACCAGTCAGGGGTCTGTTTCTCAAGTCCAAAATGGTCCAGTGCTTTTAACTTGTGAATACCACAGTATGTCGTTCATTTCCTGTTTGTAGACACTGATGAGAGGGGAACGAGTGGGATGAGGCTGATAACGGAGGGGTGAAGAAATGAGGAATGGCTGACCCTTCCTCTTCACGTCCGCTAGAAGGAAAGTTCACCAACTTGATTGTTTAGGAGCACCGAGTCACAAAATTAGCTTCAATGTACATAGATTGTCTCGACAGTAACCGAAACTTGAGAAATAACGAGCATCCAGGGATTTAATCCCAGAGCTTTACCCCTCGCAAACACACAGACAGTTTTGACGACTACAATTGCCTCAAGACCTGCTTCTGTTGGTTCCTTCCCTTTGCCTGTAACTTGTTGCCATGTCCAAAAAGGTTTTTCAGCTCAGTATGACGTCACTCCATTAGGTGGCTGCTGCATGTACTGCTCTAAGGAAACACATACTATATAGAGAAATATATATATATATAGATTGATAGATTGCTATGATTTTWTTCTTTTGTATTATCATTTCTCATCATTACTCACACGGGAAATATTTGTATGTATTTCTGTCTCTGCCAAGCATCTATGTACAACAATCACACTCCACAGATGTTTTATGGCATCCACTAACCTTCTCTAGGTATTTGTAAATGATATAGTGTGATACATTTCAATGCAAACTTTTGTTTCTCTCTCTCTCTCTCTCTCTCTCTCTCTCTCTCTCTCTCTCTCTCTCTCTCTCTCTCTCTCT